CCAGGACTCTCTCATCCACACGGACCCAGGACTCTCTCATCCACACGGACCCAGGACTCTCTCATCCACACGGACCCAGGACTCTCTCATCCACACGGACCCAGGACTCTCTCATCCACACGGACCCAGGACTCTCTCATCCACTACGGACCCAGGACTCTCTCATCCACACGGACCCAGGACTCTCTCATCCACACGGACCCAGGACTCTCTCATCCACACGGACCCAGGACTCTCTCATCCACACGGACCCAGGACTCTCTCATCCACACGGACCCAGGACTCTCTCATCCACACGGACCCAGGACTCTCTCATCCACACGGACCCAGGACTCTCTCATCCACACGGACCCAGGACTCTCTCATCCACACGGACCCAGGACTCTCTCATCCACACGGACCCAGGACTCTCTCATCCACACGGACCCAGGACTCTCTCATCCACACGGACCCAGGACTCTCTCATCCACTACGGACCCAGGACTCTCTCATCCACACGGACCCAGGACTCTCTCATCCACACGGACCCAGGACTCTCTCATCCACTACGGACCCAGGACTCTCTCATCCACACGGACCCAGGACTCTCTCATCCACTACGGACCCAGGACTCTCTCATCCACTACGGACCCAGGACTCTCTCATCCACACGGACCCAGGACTCTCTCATCCACACGGACCCAGGACTCTCTCATCCACACTTACCATAAAGCTGCATTTTATGACTGAGCTATAAATAATTTACAACGCCCAAGACTTTATGAATAAGAAATCCATATTCATGAAACCATTCAAAATAGTAAAGAAGGAAATGACATTACTCTGAGCAGCCAGGTTTATGTGGAAGATCAAAGCTAACCTGGCAAAAGCCAGATTGATGATTGTGTAGAACTCTAACGCGTTCTCCGCGATATCAATCTGGGATTTCTCCCGGAGAATCCTTTCGGGGAAAGGAGGGGTAAGCAGCAGAATACTTGAAGCTGATTGGGCGAAGTGACGCTGTGTGCCCGCCTACCAAGGTTGCCGTCCAGGAATGTACAAAGCGCCTCTCGCTGTTCATCTTTCAAAAAAGAAATTGGAGATTCTGCTAAAACTGACTTTGCGTCCGTCCTCCTGCGTAGCCATGTTTGTTTTGCTTCGGCCCGGCACTTCTTGCTTTCGTCAAACCCGGATATCCCGCCCTAAACCCCCAGACTGGCGCGTGATTGGCTCGCACACCCAGTGGTTCGACTCGAAAAGTGTAAGCGGGAGCGGGACAAGATGTATTCTCGAGTGTTTGTGAACTCACAAATACCGCGAGAATTCAGCTTGCAGGCAAGGTTAGATCAAAGCAGGTCTAAGTCTAAACCGGGTCCGATGTGAAAACTGTTTAAGTTTAATTCTGGGTTATATGTTTACAGAATACTATTTATAATTCTATAATCTGTATCAGCTGCTTATGGGATGGATCAGTCCGTATATGTTGTAATTCGTGTATTCACCAGACTGGGGAAAACTATCACGTCTGACTCTGGACCGACCCTTGTAGTTCCTCCATCCTCCACCAGGGGCGTTTCTCTGAGCTCCACACAAGGCTCTGGGATCGAGGGAAATTAAAACGTATTCAAAACAGCAACAAATAATGAACCAATCAGGATCGCTGGTGTCTGTTAGCGCCACCTTCAGGAAATACACTGCTGTTTATGATGTAATGCAAACCAAGATGGCGCCCTATTCAAATGAATGCCTTCTGCTCAGTAGCGCCCCCTCATGGGGACTAAGCTTAGTGGAACTCGTCCATATTTGGGCATCGTCTGGTCCTCCTGGTTCTGTGCAGTGGACGAGCTCCCATAATGCTTTGCTCCAAATACGTGTGTGGCTCTCATGCATGTGCACAGTGGGCAGCGTTCAGACCAATCAGAGGGCAGCGTTCAGACCAATCAGAGCTGATCAGAAAAAAAGTTCAGGGTCTCGCTCAGGGTCTCGCTCAGGGTCTCGCTCAGGGTCTCGCTCAGGGTCTCGCTCAGGGTCTCGCTCAGGGTCTCGGTGTAGCCCTCATGAATTTAGCCTACGGTACCACAGCGCCCCCTGTGGCCAAAGATGGGACAGCTATAAGCTAATACTCTATCCCTATATTATTATAGATCCATGGTCTCACAGCAGCCAAAGCAAACCAAGATGGCCGCCATAAAGTCTGAATTGTTTAAAAAGTTTACTCTTTGTGGAATAAAATACAAATAATAATATTTTCTAGACTTTATAGGAAAGATTCACAAACTATACAAAAATTATTTTCTTAGTTACTATACATTGATACACGTTTTGAATCTCTACATGTGACTTTCATAGATTCCTATCGCTCCAGTAAAATCCCACTGAAACTTTGTCTCATAACGATCAAAATGTTGTGAAATGTTAATTATTGAAGCCTGTTTGATTTCCGTCTCTCTGCGGGGGACTCTTCACGTTGCAAAGCACTTATCTGAAACTCATTTATTTTCTCCTCTTTGCTTTGAAGGTTTATCGCCTGCTCTCCTGCGGTTCTGACCCGAATTCAACTTTATCGTGAGCTTTTTTAACCACAAATAACCGTGACGGGAGGGTGGCGTAAAACTAAGTACTATTATGCAACGCTAGAACTGCTCAATCCTTCTGCCCGCCTTTGAGATCGCAAATATAGCCCATGTTTCCACCCCCCTCCCAGTGCATTTGCAGATTAGCATTGATAGCATAATACGGTAAATGTTAAATCAACCAGCGGCCAGTGATGGGAATAACGTTACTAACGGCGTTACTTTTTTCAGTAACGAGTAATCTAACTAGTTACTTTGACTGTAACTATAACGCCGTTATCATCGCCGACATCCCGTTACTGCGCGTTACTCAAGACGCACAATGAACTTCTCTTTTTCCTTCATGAGAAGACTGTTGTCGTGAGAGAAGGATGAGAAAACCTCTCAGATATTATTGGCTGATGTAAAACATATTTCCTTTACAGTCTACATGTCTACAGTTGAGAGGATGGTCATAAAGTGTGTTTTTGAAACAAATATGGGTCTTAGTCGCGCTCAACCACGGCTTGTATCACCGTGAGGCCACAGAGGAGCGCATGTGAGCGCAGAAGTTGGCTACATACAATTCCATCGATAAGCTCCTTTCTCTTCCTGGTTTATCTGCTAAGGACAGCAGCAGGTTTGGCTAACATACATATAACACATTTTTACATAATCTAAAATGCACATAGGGTAATTTTTCAATGACTATAGGAATGATAACAAAGAGGTGAAGTGTAAGACGGTTGATTTTAGAAATTGGATGCAGCAAAACAGAGGAGTTTATTGAGGACACACGCGTTCTGTTTTACTTTTTAAAACTCATTGGACTCATTTCCAAACGGAGGATTACATATCTACGCTCAAACTATTAACTGGACTTAAACACAGATAAGGTAAGACCCATAACTCTTAGTTTTGCGTTTTGTTTGAACAATGCATGAAACATATTCTGCTGTAGCCAGAGACAGATGAAGAGTGAACAGGACTTCAGCAGAAAAACAGACTTTTCTAGATGGAAATATCACCACTATTTCAGACTCACTGAGGTCAAAGGTTAAAGGTTAAAGGTAAAAATGCGCACGTCGGGTGCACATTATGTTCCAGAAACAAAACGAAAAAGTAACGCAATAGTTACTTTTACTGGTAACTAGTTACTTTTATAGTGGAGTAACTCCGTTACTTTTTGGGAGAAGTAACTAGTAACTATAACTAATTACTTTTTCAAAGTAAAGTGCCCAACACTGCCAGCGACTAACATGGTAGCGGCTAATATGCTAACGGCTCACATGGTAGCTGCTAAACATTCCTCTTGCTGCGGCTTCAGTTTCTTGATATTTAGATTGAACCAGAACAGATTATTTTACTATCGCATTCTCCAACAAACTACAACCTGCAAATTCAGCACAAACTCTTGACGTCACCGACACCGACCTACAACACCCGCCTCCCCCGCTCTCTGATTGGTCGGAGGGGATTCAACCGAGGAAACTGCAGCCACTAGGATCAGACCCAGACGTACATGTAGGAGATGACCATGGACCAGAGTTTACACATGGTAAGACCAGACGTACATGTAGGAGATGATCATGGACCAGAGTTTACACATGGTAAGACCAGATGTACATGTAGGAAATGATCATGGACCAGAGTTTACACATGGTAAGACCAGACGTACATGTAGGAGATGATCATGGACCAGAGTTTACACATGGTAAGACCAGATGTACATGTAGGAGATGATCATGGACCAGAGTTTACACATGGTAAGACCAGACGTACATGTAGGCAATGATCATGGACCAGAGTGTACACATGGTAAGACCAGACGTACATGTAGGAGATTATCATGGACCAGAGTTTACACATGGTAAGACCAGACGTACATGTAGAAAATGATCATGGACCAGAGTTTACACATGGTAAGACCAGACGTACATGTAGGAGATGATCATGGACCAGAGTTTACACATGGTAAGACCAGACGTACATGTAGGAAATGATCATGGACCAGAGTTTACACATGGTAAGACCAGACGTACATGTAGGAGATGATCATGGACCAGAGTTTACACATGGTAAGACCAGACGTACATGTAGGAAATGATCATGGACCAGAGTTTACACATGGTAAGACCAGACGTACATGTAGGAGATGACCATGGACCAGAGTTTACACATGGTAAGACCAGACGTACATGTAGGAGATGATCATGGACCAGAGTTTACACATGGTAAGACCAGAGTTTACACATGGTAAGACCAGAGTTTACACATGGTAAGACCAGAGTTTACACATGGTAAGACCAGAGTTTACACATGGTAAGACCAGAGTTTACACATGGTAAGACCAGAGTTTACACAGATGTGGCTGTTTTCTGCTTCTTCATCGCACACTGTGGTAATAACATCTCAGTATTTTCTGGGAGATGAACCCACAAAACGCTCGGTGTGAAGAGCTGCACTCACATGTGACGAAGACCAGAGCCGTCCTCATGAGCAGGTCGACCGGACGCTCCCAACGCTCCGGGACTCGAGCCGTGAGCGGCGGGATCAGGATCTCAGCGGGGACGTAGAACTGCAGCGCGAACGTGATGAAGATCCCAAAGCAGTACAGCAGCTTCACCGCCTGGTACGTCCTGGAACAACAGAGAACCAGGAAGTACCATCACATTAGTCCTGACTAGAACCAGGAAGTACCATCACATTAGTCCTGACTAGAACCAGGAAGTACCATCACATTAGTCCTGACTAGAACCAGGAAGTACCATCACATTAGTCCTGACTAGAACCAGGAAGTACCATCACATTAGTCCTGACTAGAACCAGGAAGTACCATCACATTAGTCCAGACTAGAACCAGGAAGTACCATCACATTAGTCCTGACTAGAACCAGGAAGTACCATCACATTAGTCCAGACAAGAACCAGGAAGTACCATCACATTAGTCCTGACTAGAACCAGGAAGTACCATCACATTAGTCCAGACAAGAACCAGGAAGTACCATCACATTAGTCCTGACTAGAACCAGGAAGTACCATCACATTAGTCCAGACTAGAACCAGGAAGTACCATCACATTAGTCCTGACAAGAACCAGGAAGTACCATCACATTAGTCCTGACTAGAACCAGGAAGTACCATCACATTAGTCCAGACTAGAACCAGGAAGTACCATCACATTAGTCCTGACTAGAACCAGGAAGTACCATCACATTAGTCCTGACTAGAACCAGGAAGTACCATCACATTAGTCCTGACTAGAACCAGGAAGTACCATCACATTAGTCCAGACTAGAACCAGGAAGTACCATCACATTAGTCCTGACTAGAACCAGGAAGTACCATCACATTAGTCCAGACTAGAACCAGGAAGTACCATCACATTAGTCCAGACAAGAACCAGGAAGTACCATCACATTAGTCCTGACTAGAACCAGGAAGTACCATCACATTAGTCCAGACTAGAACCAGGAAGTACCATCACATTAGTCCTGACTAGAACCAGGAAGTACCATCACATTAGTCCAGACTAGAACCAGGAAGTACCATCACATTAGTCCTGACAAGAACCAGGAAGTACCATCACATTAGTCCTGACAAGAACCAGGAAGTACCATCACATTAGTCCAGACTAGAACCAGGAAGTACCATCACATTAGTCCTGACAAGAACCAGGAAGTACCATCACATTAGTCCAGACTAGAACCAGGAAGTACCATCACATTAGTCCTGACTAGAACCAGGAAGTACCATCACATTAGTCCAGACTAGAACCAGGAAGTACCATCACATTAGTCCTGACTAGAACCAGGAAGTACCATCACATTAGTCCAGACTAGAACCAGGAAGTACCATCACATTAGTCCTGACTAGAACCAGGAAGTACCATCACATTAGTCCAGACAAGAACCAGGAAGTACCATCACATTAGTCCTGACTAGAACCAGGAAGTACCATCACATTAGTCCAGACAAGAACCAGGAAGTACCATCACATTAGTCCTGACTAGAACCAGGAAGTACCATCACATTAGTCCAGACTAGAACCAGGAAGTACCATCACATTAGTCCTGACAAGAACCAGGAAGTACCATCACATTAGTCCTGACAAGAACCAGGAAGTACCATCACATTAGTCCAGACTAGAACCAGGAAGTACCATCACATTAGTCCTGACAAGAACCAGGAAGTACCATCACATTAGTCCAGACTAGAACCAGGAAGTACCATCACATTAGTCCTGACTAGAACCAGGAAGTACCATCACATTAGTCCAGACTAGAACCAGGAAGTACCATCACATTAGTCCTGACTAGAACCAGGAAGTACCATCACATTAGTCCAGACTAGAACCAGGAAGTACCATCACATTAGTCCTGACTAGAACCAGGAAGTACCATCACATTAGTCCTGACAAGAACCAGGAAGTACCATCACATTAGTCCTGACAAGAACCAGGAAGTACCATCACATTAGTCCAGACTAGAACCAGGAAGTACCATCACATTAGTCCTGACAAGAACCAGGAAGTACCATCACATTAGTCCAGACTAGAACCAGGAAGTACCATCACATTAGTCCTGACTAGAACCAGGAAGTACCATCACATTAGTCCAGACTAGAACCAGGAAGTACCATCACATTAGTCCTGACTAGAACCAGGAAGTACCATCACATTAGTCCAGACAAGAACCAGGAAGTACCATCACATTAGTCCAGACTAGAACCAGGAAGTACCATCACATTAGTCCTGACTAGAACCAGGAAGTACCATCACATTAGTCCTGACTAGAACCAGGAAGTACCATCACATTAGTCCAGACTAGAACCAGGAAGTACCATCACATTAGTCTGGACTAGAACCAGGAAGTACCATCACATTAGTCCAGACTAGAACCAGGAAGTACCATCACATTAGTCCAGACTAGAACCAGGAAGTACCATCACATTAGTCCTGACTAGAACCAGGAAGTACCATCACATTAGTCCAGACAAGAACCAGGAAGTACCATCACATTAGTCCTGACTAGAACCAGGAAGTACCATCACATTAGTCCTGACTACAACCAGGAAGTACCATCACATTAGTCCTGACTAGAACCAGGAAGTACCATCACATTAGTCCTGACTAGAACCAGGAAGTACCATCACATTAGTCCAGACTAGAACCAGGAAGTACCATCACATTAGTCCAGACTAGAACCAGGAAGTACCATCACATTAGTCCAGACTAGAACCAGAAGTACCATCACATTAGTCCTGACTAGAACCAGGAAGTACCATCACATTAGTCCAGACAAGAACCAGGAAGTACCATCACATTAGTCCTGACTAGAACCAGGAAGTACCATCACATTAGTCCTGACTAGAACCAGGAAGTACCATCACATTAGTCCTGACTAGAACCAGGAAGTACCATCACATTAGTCCTGACTAGAACCAGGAAGTACCATCACATTAGTCCGACTAGAACCAGGAAGTACCATCACATTAGTCCTGACTAGAACCAGGAAGTACCATCACATTAGTCCTGACTAGAACCAGGAAGTACCATCACATTAGTCCAGACTAGAACTGGAAGTACATCACATTAGTCCAGACTAGAACCAGGAAGTACCATCACATTAGTCCTGACTAGAACCAGAAAGTACCATCACATTAGTCCAGACTAGAACCAGGAAGTACCATCACATTAGTCCTGACTAGAACCAGGAAGTACCATCACATTAGTCCTGACTAGAACCAGGAAGTACCATCACATTAGTCCTGACTAGAACCAGGAAGTACCATCACATTAGTCCTGACTAGAACCAGGAAGTACCATCACATTAGTCCTGACTAGAACCAGGAAGTACCATCACATTAGTCCTGACTAGAACCAGGAAGTACCATCACATTAGTCCTGACTAGAACCAGGAAGTACCATCACATTAGTCCAGACTAGAACCAGGAAGTACCATCACATTAGTCCTGACTAGAACCAGGAAGTACCATCACATTAGTCCAGACTAGAACCAGGAAGTACCATCACATTAGTCCAGACTAGAACCAGGAAGTACCATCACATTAGTCCAGACTAGAACCAGGAAGTACCATCACATTAGTCCTGACTAGAACCAGGAAGTACCATCACATTAGTCCTGACTAGAACCAGGAAGTACCATCACATTAGTCCTGACTAGAACCAGGAAGTACCATCACATTAGTCCTGACTAGAACCAGGAAGTACCATCACATTAGTCCTGACTAGAACCAGGAAGTACCATCACATTAGTCCTGACTAGAACCAGGAAGTACCATCACATTAGTCCAGACTAGAACCAGGAAGTACCATCACATTAGTCCTGACTAGAACCAGGAAGTACCATCACATTAGTCCAGACTAGAACCAGGAAGTACCATCACATTAGTCCAGACTAGAACCAGGAAGTACCATCACATTAGTCCTGACTAGAACCAGGAAGTACCATCACATTAGTCCAGACTAGAACCAGGAAGTACCATCACATTAGTCCTGACTAGAACCAGGAAGTACCATCACATTAGTCCTGACTAGAACCAGGAAGTACCATCACATTAGTCCTGACTAGAACCAGGAAGTACCATCACATTAGTCCTGACTAGAACCAGGAAGTACCATCACATTAGTCCTGACTAGAACCAGGAAGTACCATCACATTAGTCCTGACTAGAACCAGGAAGTACCAACACATTAGTCC